TGGTCCTAGGACATGGAGGCAGAAAGGAAAGGAAGTATTCTGGGAGCTTCAGGCATTTGTAGACAATACGCACCTGGGTTGGCTATCAGGGTGAAAGACCTCTATGTGGTTTGCAGGCTGAAGCTGGAGTTATTTCCCCTCCAGTGCCCGGCCCTGACCTTTCCTTGCGTTACTGTTTTCTTGAACAGTATCAGAGGACCCAGCGTGGTTGACCTGGCACTGTGTAGTTAGCTGCACAATTAAGTTTTGTGTCCCCGAGCATCAGGGTCAGGTGTTCAAAAGGGAGGTTCAGGAGGCCTGGGTGCCCAGGGCTGATGCCTGCCCTGCTCTGGTGCCCTGCTGGGGTTTACACTTTTGACCCTGGCAGTTTCTTTACTGCATGGTAAGCTGGCTCGAGGCTGCTCAAGGCAGTGGCTCTGTGAAGCATTGGATGTGTTTTAAATAATCAAGGGGAACCTTGGAACATAAGATGTCCCTTTAGGAATTTCATGGCCTCGAGAGGGTCCTCTTCTCTCCTCTCCTCTCCAGTCTCAGCCAGTGGGATTATATGCTGCTCTAGGTGGGATGAAAGCATTGGCAACCCTGATTACAGTCATGCTGCTGAGAAGAGATCTTACAGAATCCTGGTGGAAAATATAATCTGCTCTTTAGGATAGAAGATTCATAATCTGTGCCCCCATTTGTTCATCAAATATTTAATGAGTGTCTGATACTTTCTGGATACTGTTCTAAAGACCCCAAGTACTGTGGGACTACATGAGAACCCTGTTATATGGTGTACACCCTACTGATCTGTAGCAACTCACAGGGAAGCACAGAGTGATGGGGGATGTGGGACACACATGTGAACATGACCTCGAGATGCACTTTCAGTGCTCCAGAGTTTCCAGAAGATGTGGCTAGAGACAGGCTGGGATTGTAACCAGACTAATGGGAACGGGGTGGGGATGGCACCAAGAGGGAGGAAGCAGAAAGCTCCTCTCAGAGAACACACAGAAAATGTCTGCTTGCTCTTTGTGCTGACTTTTAGATGGGCAAACCCAGGTTTTGGGAAAACACAAATCAAATGCCAGTTCCCAGAACGTTAAAAGATACAATACTGCATCAGGTAAGGCATCCTGTTAGGCTTGTTTTAGTGACTTTACACATTTCTGTGACAAAATACCAGCCAAAAGCTACTTGGGAAAAAAGATTTATTTGGACCCACAGTTTGAGGGTACAATCAGTCATGGTGGGAAGGCATAGCGGCAGGAGCATGAGAGGGCTGGTCACATCCCATCTGCAGCCAGGAAGCAGATGAATGCCAGTGCTCAGCTTGCCTTCTTTCTAAGCCCCTTGAATGGAGCTGTCCACATTTAGTGTGGCTGTTCCCTCCCCTGTTAAACGTTTCTGGAAACATCCTTATAGACATGCCCAGAGGTCTACCAGATGTCTATTTTCATTTCTATGCTGATTCTAACTCCATCAAGCTGAGAGCCACAATTATAACATTCACAGTATCTTGATTTTTTTTTAAAATTTTACGTGTGTGTGTGTGTGTGTGTGTGTGTGTGTGTGTGCTTGTTGATATGTATGTGGGCACATGTGCTTAGAAGTCACAGGCTTGACATTGGTGTCTTAATTGATTGCTGCTCACTTTAATGAGATAGGTGAAGGGGGACCTTATCAACTTACCTAGTCTAGCTAGCCAGATTGCCCCAGAGATCTCCTGACCCTACTTTCCAAGTACTGGGTTTACAGACAGGTCATCGTGTCCACCTGGCATTTTCATATGGCTACAGGAGAATCTGAGCTCCAGCCCTTACACTTGCAAACAACTTATTCCCCGAACTATCTTCCCAGTTTGCAAATTTTGATATTTGAAAAAGAAATTCACATTTATTAGGCTATAACCTATGAAATTGCTGTTCGAGTCAGTCCAAATACACATGTATTAACAGTTCTAGGTAGTTTATTTCAGCACAAATGTGAGAGCCATCCTTCCCCGAACTTGGCAATGACACTGGACAAAGAGATTTTTGTCATTCCAGAGTGCAAGCTAGGCCTGAATACAGGTGTCTGTCAATCTGACCTAGCTGTAAATGTGTATGCACCACAACTTCTGTGTTCTCTGACCTGAACTGCAGATTTCATTGACTCACAAAAACAAGGAGGATTGGCGCCTTGCTGATTGTCCCACAAGTTACATGTGGCAATTCCAGGAACTGTCTGAATTCTTGGCTGTCCCCCACTGTTCCTGATAGATGTGGGTCCAGACTTGTCAGAGTGTTGTGCTTGGGGAGTGCTTTTATGGGGGTCACTGAAGCTGAAGCAAGTTGTTGGAGGGATGTCAATATTTCCAAATAACCAGGGATCATCATGTGACTGCTGCCAGTGTGGTCTGCCCCATGGAGGGGACAGCTGTGCCTGGACAATCAGGGCTACTCAAACCAGCTGCTCCCTGTTCCAAAGCTCTCAAAATGACTTCTGTGGGTTGTACAATTTCTATGTCTGGGTTTTTATTACAGAAAGTATGACAAAATGTAAAAATAATATGTATTTTTTAACCCCTATGCCCCTCAGGAGGATATGTTTCCTAAAGAGGAAAGAATATATTTTTGTTCCTTGGTGTCAGGATAGTCTCCATAGGACTTGGGTGGAGGGAAAGGTAGATGCTGCTACCCATTCTTGGCTTGAGGGTCTAGGCTACTCAAAGGACCTGCTGTGGTCAGTCCATTTCCCATCTCTGGAGCACTCTCTCCAACTGGGAGTTCATGTGACTGTGGTTACTTATCTTACGTGTCTTTGTCCCTCATTGTTCCTCATTTTTGGACAAAGGTCCTTCCCTGTGGGGTGTGAAGTTGCATCAGAAATGGTACCAGGTATGATGTAGATGTGGGGATCAGACTATGTGTGAGAAGGTCAGATTATAAGTGAGAAGGTCACCCCAATTCCACTTTTGATATGGGATACCCTTCTGTATATGTGTTGCTTTTATTGTTTAATGAATAAAGCTGTTTAGACCAGTGGCTTAGCAGAGTAAATCCAGGCCATAAATCCAAACAGAGATAGAGATAGAGAGTAGGCAGAGTTGAGGAAATGCCATGTAGCTGCCAAAGGAAAAAGATGCCAGAACATTACCAGTAAGCTCCAGCCTTGTGGCGATACATAGATTAATAAAGATGGGTTAATTTAAGATATAAGAACTAGCTAGGAATATGCCTAAGCCATTAGCCAGTGTTGTAATTAATATAGTTTCTGTGTGATTATTTGGGTCTGGGTGGTTGGGAAAACGAAAATGCTATCTCTGTTTTTACATATTTTGTCTAGCCTGGTTGGTCAAGGGAAAACCCATTGTTTATCTGATGTGATGTTAGTATCCTTTCAGCCTTTCTTGACATCTTCTTTAGCAAAAACCAAAAACAGAAACAACAAAAAAACCCAAAAACAAACAAAAAGTGAAAATGATGGAGACCAGAGGTCCATATGGGGCATCTTCTACAATCTCTCTCCACTTTATTTTTTGAGACAGAATCTCTCACCGATCCTGGTGCTCATGATTCAGCTAGCCTGGCTGTCCAGCAAGCTCCAGGCATCTCATATCTCCATCTCTCCCACACTGGGCTCAAGGCGTGTACTGCTGTGCCCAGCTTTTTCTTAATATGAGTTTGGAGAATTGGAACTCCAGGCCTCCTGCTTGTTTATGCTCTGAGACTTAAGCCCCTTAAAGCTATTATTATCCCTAGGTGGGAAAAGTGATTTTGTTTGAATTTTACTTATTTACACATTCATTTTTGAGTATCAAGTGACAAGTTTTTCTACCTAACACTAGTGACATTGTGCGGTATCTTTTCCGGTTGAGATGTAAACAGATGTCTATTCATCCCAGGTAGGACACCACCAACCAAAAGGAGAAAATAGTTTCCACACGAATTGAGCTTGGTGAACCAAAGAGTTTGTGAGGGTTACTCCTAGAAGCACAGATGACCAAAAGGCAGCTTCATCCCTACGAAGTGATCACCATATGGGTGGCGATCAGCTAAAGCTCTGTCCCTGGAACTTTGGACTCACATTGCAGACCCCTCCACCAAAGATAATATTCCCTCCTTTCACTCTCCTCTCCCAAGACAGGGTTTCTCTGTATAGCCCTGGCTGTCCTAGAACTCACTCTGTAGACCAGGCTGGCCTCGAACTCACAGATCTACCTGCCTCTGCCTCCTAAATGCCGGAATTAAAGGTGTGCACCACCACACTTGGCTGATAATATTTTCTCCTAGGAAAGGTTCTCTGCAACAGAAGCTTGTTCAGGTCCTGATGTGACTTGTAATCTTGCGAATTCTTATCACGCTTTGTGAGTTTTGCAAGCCCCCTACCTCCTAGGAAGGACGGTTTCAGTCTGGAGGAAATACTCACCCAACACATTTGTGTCACCTATTGTTTGCACATGCACGTGTGTATACATATATTCTTACCATATGTTTTCTTTGTGTGCCACACAAGTGTGTACACACGCAAGGTCAGAGGTCAATGTCATATGTCTTCCTCAATCTTTCTCCATGTTGTTTTTAGAGACAGGGTCTCTCACTGAACCTGGCACTCACTGATTAAGTTAGTCTAGATGTCCAATGAACTCCAGGAATCCTCCCTCTTGTCTTCATTTCCCCAACCCTGGACTTACAGACATGTACCACTGTGTTCATCTTCTTTTTGGTTTTGAGCCTTGCCTTTAACTGCCAAACCATCTCTCTACCCTGATCAGCTTCTCTTTAAGATGGGTTCTGGGGTTTGTACTTCTTTCCCACCTGCTTGTGTGGTAAGCACTTTGCCAACTGAGCCCTTTCGCCCAGCTCCTTTGCCTATATTTTCTATACATTGAGTTGAATCCAAGAAGAAACCCTGGCTAATCCAGAACAGCATCACGGGTCCAAAGGTGGGCGGTGGGTGGTTACCAGTGTGCTATCCAAGGCTACAAATCTGGTGTCCCGGGATCACTAACACCTGCCCTCGGTTCCTCCCAACAGTGACGGAAGGCCGAGGGATCCTGGAGAGCATCCAGCGGTTCTCGCTACTGCCTACCTACCTCCCGGTGACCTACCACATCAACAATGCCGATGTGTCCTTCTTCCTGAAGGAGGCCAACCAGGACATCATGCGCAACTCCAGCCTGCAGTCGCGGGTTGAGTCCTTTCTGATCTACAAGTCCAAGCGGCTGCCGGTGCTCAACGCCAGCTACGGGCCCTTCTCCCTTGAGCAGGTGGTACCCCAGGACCTGATGCTGCCTTCCAACCCATTCGGATTCACCAATACCTTCTCCCTTAACTGGAGGCTGAAGGCCTACATCTTGCAGGAGAAGGTCTACCTGAGCCATCCCAAAGTGCAAGTGCTCTTCCACGTTGTGGGCAGAGACTGGGATGACCACAGGGACGAGAAGCTCCCCTGTCTGCGGGTCTTTGCTTTCCGAGAGACCAGGGAGGTTCGGGGCAGCTGCCAGCTAGGTGGATCCTTGGGACTGTGTGTGGCCCAGCTGGAGATGCTGCCTGGCTGGTTCAGTCCCCCTACAGTTGTGTCTGGGCGCAGGAGACCCACAGAGCAGCCCGAAGGGAGTCCCGTGGAACTGTATTATGCAGTACAGCCAGGGGATGAGCGAGGGGACTGTGCCAAGGAGGACTTGAGGAAGGGTGGTGGCCCTCTGACCGGCCACAATGATGTTGATGAATCCAGCCCCCCTTTGCACAGAATTGGGAGTGTCTTCCTTCGCGAGACCCCCAGCAGTCCACCTCTGAGGGAACTGCGTTTAGATAGCAATGTGGCTGTTCATTATGTCCCCAAGACTGTCCGACAAGGAGACGTACTCACCTTCCCCATCTCCGTCTCTAGGAACTGCACGGAGGATCACTTCACACTGAGGTGAGCAGGTTCTCAAATCTGTCGGTGGCAGGCAGCCCTGGGGGGTCCAGCCAGGCTTCTGTGTTTATGCCTCTAGCATGAAGTTCCTGTCAGATGCTCACATGCAGTGTTCTCACTGTGAAGTGTAAGGGCTAGTTTGATGGTGCTGGTTGATTACTTAATTATAAACATTTTTGGGGGTACATGTGTATATTAATGAATATAGAGGTCACAGGTCAACCATGGGTATCCTTCCTCAGGTATTATTATAGTATTATTTTGAGACAGTGTCTCTCACTAGCCTAGTGCTTGCTGGTTAGACCAGTTGGCTGACCAGTGAGACCCTAGGATCCTTCTCTCCCCACCCTCCAGCATTTGAATCAAGAGACCACACTTGTTCTATGCCCAGCTGTTTACATGGATCCTGGGAATCAAACTGAGGTGCCCATGTTTTCATGGTGAACACTTTACTATCTCACCAGTCCAGAGAATGTTCTTCCTTTTTATTAAGACTTATCTTATTTTTAATTAAGTGTGTGTGTGTGTCTGTCTGTCTGTCTGTAACTATATCTATGTTCAGGTGTGTGCACGTGAGTGCAATGCCCACAGAGGTCAGAGGGGGGTATCAAATCACCCTGGAGCTGGAGTTATGGGGAGTTGTTAGCTGTCAGATGTGGGTTCTGTGGTCTGAATTAGGGTGCACAAGAAGAGCAAGCAAGTGCTTTTAACTACTTAGCCATCTCTCTGGGACCATAAAACATCCTTTTTAGTATTAATGAAACTTTCAGGCTGTCATAGAAGAGCCGGGGATGTTGTCAGGATCCCTCAGCCTTCGTGGAGGGTTTATGGACACCCTCTGGGGCACTGAAGGTTCCCCAAGTCAACGACTTCACAATCGGGTCTTTAAACACCTCACAGTTTCAGCAAATCTGCAAACGGTGGCGACAGTTGTCAGGGAGGATGGAGAACGTGGCTCTGCCAACTCAGAATCTATTCCAGACAGACAGGCTCTAAGTATAAAGTGGTACCAGCCTCAAAGTTATCACTTTGTTTCTCCCTGGAAATAGAATGTGGTGTTTAAAAAAGAAAGAAGAGAGCGTAAAGGGTGGGGAATATGCGTTAGGATCTTAGATTTCTTATGTAAGGTTGTAGCAAAGAGGAGACATTTAAAAGAAGCACTGTGCACTTTAGAAAAAACCCTCTGAAATTTTTTGGAAATATAATATGCAAGAGGAACTTGCCCTGTGTCAACTGTGATGTAACTAAAGACTTTAGCTTCATTTTAAATGTAGGTAAATCTGTTTAATTAATTAGGACAAGCATTGTTGGTGGGCTGCGGTGTCCAACAGCACGGCATGACTAGGCCTGCTGGGAAACAGATTGCTTCTTGTCTTCTTACCTTTTAAATCTATTTGTTTTATATTTTTGCTTTGTGTGTATATGTTTGGTGTGGTGTGGTGGTGGTAGTGCACGCCACATGATTGCAATGCCCACAGAGGCCAGAAGAGCACATCATAACCCAGGAGCTGCTTGATAGAGATACTGGGAACTGAACTCTGGTCCTCTGCAAGAGCATCGAGTGCTCTTAAATGCTGAAGCATCCATCTCTCCATCCCCCAAGACATTAATTTTATCATGATCCTGTAGAATATGGATGTACCTGCATGTGGTACATGTTGCCTGTGGATTTTCGAGTTCATTAGCTACCAATCTGATTTCAGTTTCTCATCCAGACTCTTAACTCCTTTCTCTCTCTCTCTCTTTATCTCTCTCCCTCTCTACCCGCAACTCCTTTTCCCTTCTGCTCTGTTTAAGAGTGATGAACTCAAGGAAACAAATCGTTCTTTAGTTTGAACTCACAATTTAAGTTGATTCTGACCTGTCATTCAGGGTTCCTTTTTAATTTTGACTAAAGCAATAGACATCAGAGAACAGCATTTGTCTAATAGTTGAACTTGACAAAAATTGGGAGGTAAAGACCTTGACTTCACATTCTGGGCATCTGGGGATTAGCTAAAGAGGCGGGTGGGGGTGTGTGATGGAAAGGCATCTGGGAGACTGTGACCACACTTGTGTTTCATTCTGTCTGTCTGGCCGTCAGATTTCGTTGCAGCTGGTCGCAAGTCCTCCACAGGACCTACTAGTGTGTGCTTCAGTCTCCAAATTCAGCAGCCTTCCATAACATCTGTAAAGAAGGCCAATTATGAGAGAAGTGCTTTGTCTGGAAACCATGGGAAGGGTGGGCCTCTGCTCTAATCCATGCCATTCTTCCTTGGCTGTTCTTGCTGATCATTGACTGGTGATGGATTCCTAGGCCAGGGGTGGAATCTCGCCATCCTCTGGCTTCAGGAAGTGAGCTCATCTAGCCTTTTCTAGAAACATCTCTATGTGTGTTTGTTTCACACAAGGCTTGGAATCCTGTCATCATCTGTAATATAGTAAATGTATCCCCTGGAGTCTGGAGTAAGATCAGCTCTCTTGGATCTCCAGTAGACCCAAAAGACATCCCCTTTGTTGGGCCATACATCCCACAAGGTTAGGCTCAGCCCTTTGCACCTTCGGAAACAAACACATTGCACCCTTGTACGTTTTTTGGCTCTGGTTGTAAGTCCAAGTTTGGGTGGTTTCAGATATAGAGAAAATGTACATTTATTCAGACTTCATTCCTTATGGATTTAGTTTTAAATTTCTCTTAATTTTTGAGAATTTTTTTGACATACATTAATGTAATACATCTTCTCTTCATTTTCTCCTTCAACTCCCTCCACATTCCCACAGTATATACTTTCCCGACTTCATGTCTTTTTCCTTTATAGCCCACTAAGCCCAGTTAATGCTGCACATTTGTGCAAGGGGGTGGGAATCATCCGCTAGAGCATGGGAAACCTACCAATAGGATTGTCCTCAAAAAAAAAAAAAGAAAGAAAAAAGAATGTCCCACCCTGCTTCCTCTAGCAGCTATCAGCTGCCACTAACTCTTTAGCTAGTTCCTCCCTCATCCTTGCTGGGATTTTTTAATCTAGATTGATCATGTACAGGTAATCATAGCTTCTTTGAGTTCAAAGGTACAGCAGCCACACCATGTTCAGAACACACAGCTCTCCTCCCCATCCTCTGGTTCTGATATTCTTCCTGCCTCCTCTTCTACAATGTTCCCTGGGCTCGGATATATGCTTGCTACACACTTAACATACTTCAGTCTTGAATGGATCTAATCTGTCTATATAAGTAGACAGTATAATCTTGGACCTGGTGATGTGGCGAACCTGTCATTTGAGTCTTCAAACATAGGGTTGGGCTTTTCTGTGCCTGTAACCTCAGGGGATGCTGTGGAGGAAGCATGAGGGGCTGGGACTTTCCATTCTGGGTACGAAATTATAAGTACGTTTTAACGAGCTGTGTGTGTGTGTGTGTGTGTGTGTGTGTGTGTGTGTGTGTGTAGAAGTGAAGGGACGGAGAACAAGAAAGCCCAAATAGATAGCTTGTTGTCTTCTAAAATCTATCCAACCCTGCTGCTCTACTCTTGGAGGCCACGTTGCAGAAGAAAAGCAAAGCACTTTGAATTTATGGGCATCCAAGTTCTTTTGAATCTCAGAAAATGTTTTCATTTCCATGAAGAACTGAAACACCCACAGCACTTGGGGCTTTTGCTCTGAGATCCCACCTGCCATATTCCCTTTCTTATCTCCCTCTCCACAGGACACAGGGCTCAGAAGCCACCAATGGCTTCGACTGCCCAAATGCCAAGCTGGAGAAGATGAACATGGGGACCATTTCTCTCCCCCCACATCAGCTGTTCCTTTCTGCTTCCCTTATAGAAACCGAATCTCTAAGAAGCCCTGGTCCTTAGGTTGAACTAAGGTTTGAGTAGAATATTTACTCAATGTCAAGGAAGCTCATGTGGAAGACAGAGACCAGAGCTATAAAAGGCAGAACTCAGACAGATCAGGGCTCTTCCCAGAGTCAGGGCTGTTCTTAAGTCCCATGAATGAACAAATCCCTCTTGAGCATTAGCAAAGCCCACTTAGGACTTGCAGTGGGCTCTGCAGTTGAAAATACTATATGCTCAAGTACTCTTTGACAGTTTTGCATCCTGCACTGTCAGATTAAAGATGCTTTGGGAATTGGGGAGCTGCCTCATATAGGAAAGATCCTACCATGTGAACACAAGATACTGAGTTTGATCTCCAATATTCACAAAATTAAAAAAAAATACCATATATGGTGGTATGTATTTCAATGGCTAACTAATTTAGCTGAATCAGCTTGATTGAGAGACTGTCTCTGTAAGGTGGTTCGCTCCCGAGGAGCAACACCTGAGGCTGACCTCGCACCTCCACATGCACAGATACTCAAGAGCACACTCACCCCAACCCCCACAAACATACAGGCATGCACACATATGCATAAATGTTAATTAAAACTAAATTATCAAAGCTGCTTTGGTTTAAGCCTTGGGATTTTCTTGACAAGAAAAGACCTATGAAAGAGAAAGCAAAAGTATATAAAAAGAGAATTTGACATGTGATTGGGGAGTCAGGATTAAGATGGGTCTGGAGATGCCCTTTGGGTGGTATATTCCTCAGTGTTCTCTAGAGGAACATATATGAAGGGTATTTATTAGAATTGCTTACAGGCTGTGGTCCAGCTAGTCCAATGAAAGGTCCAAGAAGCCAGTAGTTGTTCAGTCTACAAGGCTGAACGTCCTAGCTGGTCTTCGGTATATGCTGGAGTTCTGAAGAAGCAGGCTCTAATGCCAGCAAGATCAAGAGCAAGCAAGCAAAGAGAGCTAGCTTCCTTGTTCCCCATCCTTTATATAGGCTGCCAGAGGAAGTTGTGGTCCAGATAAAAGGATGGGTCTTCCCTCTTCAAAAGATCCGGGTTAAAAGTGGGTCTTCCCACTTCAAATGGTTTAATTAAGAAAAAGGAAAAAAAGAAAGTCTCTCCCAGGTCTACCCAGTTGCCCAGGTTTTAGTTAATTCCAGATGTCATCAAGTTGGCAACCAACAGTAGCCATCACA